AAAATTTCCTGAGATGTGTTAGAGTCTCCCAAGGGACACAGTGCTACCCCAGCAGCAGGGTCTCCAAGGCAAACAGGGGGATGCAGAGGGTGGGAGCAAACTTGGTCGTGGGGTCTGTGTCCCTGCCGTGGGGCAGTGCTTGGGTTTGCAGAGAGCCCGAGCCCTTGATGTGGCACCAGTGCTGGGATTGCGACGGCTGATGCTGCCAGTGTCAGTGTCGTGGCTGGGGCTGGAATCCAGCTGGAAGCAAATTCTGCAGAGTTTCACTGGCTACAAGTGGCATTTCATTTTGTCAACTGGCAGAAATACAAATGTCTTGTTTCTCCCTCTGCTAGCCATTCTGGGGCAGAAATGGCTCACCTGCTCCATGGCTTTTCATGGAACGGATTATTGCTCCTGACTGATGGTTCCTCAGGCCCCACCCTGCCTTTGTTTTTCTTTCCTGGGTGAGTGGATACATGGGTGCTGAGCCCAGGGAGCCAGGCCTGCTGGACATGATGACCCTCACACCCAGCCTATGGAGATCCACTCTGCATCCCTGAGTGTCAGTTGCTGATTCTTGCCTCCATCAGCACTTCCTGGTCTCTGGGGCCTCACTTGTGGTCTCACAAAAGCACTGTGAGCACTGACCTCGGCCACCGTGCTCCTCCTGCCGGCAGTCCAGCTCCTTCTCTGCCCTCCCTCCCTCCTGGCCTCACTGAAGCACAGTCAGAAACCAGAGGTGCACAGGGATGTGCATTCACCTTTTTTCTAGATAAATCCATGGCAGTGCCACAGCTCACTGCTTCTCATTCCCTGAGGTCAACCACCCTGAGCTATTTTGGTTGTGCTCCTTGCTATCTGCCAGGACAGCCCTCGAGGTGCTCTGGACATGGAGGTTAGGTCTGAGCATCCCTCTCTGCATCATTCAACTGCTCCTGGACATCCCTGACTGCTCTCCCAGGCTGAGATCCCCCAGTAACCTCCCACCCCCATTGCACCAGTATCTTTCCTTCTGCACTGGGCCAGCACCGCTGTTTTCTCCCTTGCCAGGCGACCACGCAACCTCCGTGAGCGCTCTGGGGGCGAGAGCGATGCCCACAAACCCATGCCGTCCTCCCATCCGTCCGCCGCATCCCCTGGCCCATTGTCTTCCCAAAACCCACCAGGACTTGGCCCTCTGCATCGCTGCACCAGCCAACAGTGCGGCCTGGCAGAGCCGGCATCCCACGCCGACGGCAATGCCAGCGCCCGGAGCAGATGGCGGAGCCGACCGGTCCCTTCCCTGTGGCCGGTTTTCGGCCGGGAGCACGGTGGGCTCGGTGGGCAGGGCGGCGACACGGGAGCCAGCTCGGCTGGAGCGTCAGGGCAAGGCGTGTTAGCGGCAAAGCTCACGGCTATTTTTAACCTGGATGGATGAGAGCTTATTTCCTGACTTGGCTCGTGCGGCGCGGCGGCACGCGTGGCTTCCGCCGCCCGTGCCCGGTGGGTGCGGGGATGTGGCTGTTTTGGGTCATCAGATGGCAACCCTGAGCCTGAAATGTTTTTTTTCTAGGAGCAGCAGGGGGAAGGGAGTGGGCTACCAGGAGAGCAGAGCTGGTACCCCAGAGAGATGACCAGCAGCGCCATCCTGGGCTGGTGTGGCTGGAGTTTGGGGTGTCTTGCTGGGCTCTGGGCTGGATGCTGCATCCATCAACCTTTGGGTTTTCTCAGGCTGTATTTTTGAATCCCAGTTATTACACCATGACCCACCATGGGGCTTCAAGCCTATTCCCTCCAGCACTTCACCTTCCCCCTGCTGCAAAACTCCTTGGAGCGAGTATGGGAGATTCCCACTGGAGCAAGCCCCTACCCTAGGGGATTTGTGAACAACCCCTGCACCTTTTGGGGTTCAGAAAACCCAGGTTGCTTGAAATCCCACCCTCTCCAGCTGCTGAGTTTTTGGAGGGGCTGTAGGATGGTTGGCATGTCCCCTGGGTCCAGGCTGCTCGCTGTGGGATGGGGTGGTGGTACCCCAGGTCCGAGCGGCTCTGCGCCATCGGGAGGACGGGTGACTTAGCACGTTTCCCCATCCCTGCTCCCCCCGTGCCTCCCCCTCAGCCTCTTCCTCCGGGAGGCCTGACACTAATGCAGCGGGAGCGGGGGATTTATGGACGGCAGCCCTCCAATCGGGCCATCCGTCTTGATTAAATTAGCCCTAATGGCTCTGTGCTGACTTGCTCATAGTCCTGCGCAGCCGCGCTGGGGGCGTCGGAAAGGGGCTCGACGGAGACCCCACCGGGGTGCACCCCTCGTTTCACCCCCTTGTCCTCCTTCCCTCACTTCCACAGCTCCTGAGAGGGTGGCCACAGCTGGCCTAGGAGAGGCTGGATCCTGCCTGGAGTTCTTCCCCGGCTGGGAGCCCACCAGGGACACAGGGGTTCCCAGGGCTGTGGTCCTGTGCCCACACTTCCCTCTGGCACTGCCCAACCCTGATGGAAAAACATGGGGAACCTTTCTACTCCCCAAGAGTAGAGGGAAGCTGGGGCTTACTGGGATGGAAATCCCAGGCTATTTCTTTGCATTTCCTGTAGCAAACTGGGGAGCGAGGGATAAGCCACCAGCACGACCAGGTGGTGGGAACACCAGACTCACCAGTTCTGGCTGCCCAGCTCCATCCTGTCCTCCCAGCTGGCCCCAAGGGCTGCAGACCCCCAGGGTGCCCATGTCTCTCCCTACATATTAGCCCCCAAATCTCTCACTTGCTGGAAAAAAGCCCCAGTAGAGCACCAAGTGGGGGAGCAAACAGTGAGAGGGGGCTGGGACTGGGCACCCTGCAGCCACTCCCCTCAGGCTGGCCCGTGGCCAGTTGCCCACCCCAGCTCTTCAGCCAATTTTTTGGCTACTGGGTGCATTAATTGTATCTCTTGCTGCAGGGAGTGGAGGGAACTTTGGGCTGGTGCTGCTGGCTGGGGATCAGGGCAGGGAGGGATTTGGGAAGCTTTCTGTGAGCATGGTGGGGTGGCAGGAGAGGAGCCCTCAGAGAGGAGAATGCCAGGGTACAAGGGGCTGCATGACAGGCAGAAAGGAGCAGTGTTTTGGGGTCAGGTCGCCCCTGGGTGGTCTTATTCAAGACCACCACGCCCAGTGTGTGAGCTGGTGTTCCCTCCAACCTGCAAACCCCAAATCCTTGCTGAATATCCATCAGAGTTTGGACAGAACAAGGCCCTGCAGTACTTTTCATCCCAGGATTTTAAAGTGTTGGTTAAAATTCAGTGTTTGTGAGGCTGGTGGAATGGGGTGAGGTGGACAAGCCAGTGTGGAGAGGGGAGCAGAGGCAGCACTGTGAGCATTGCCCTGAAATGCTCTGAATTTGGGATTTTTGGGAGCAGTGAGGGGACGATGCTCTTTTTCCGTGCCGGGGAGAGAATGGGAGCTGAGGATAAGGAGAGTCACTGCTCCAGGATGCTGCCGAAGGGGAGAGGGAGGAGCTACTGGTCCCAAACTTGTGGTGGGAGACAAGGAAGAGTGAAGAGGAGTCTGGGAAGGGGTGGGAGGTGATGCAAAAGGGCAGGTGGGGAGGGAACCTCTCCATGTGCTGGGGTCTGGGGGGATTTATGGCTTTCCTGTGACCTGCTGGCTGCATGACAGCCACGCTGAGCAGGGCCGAGCATCGCTGTCGAGGCTGGAGGTCTCCTGGCAGTGATTTTTTTTTTTTTAACAAAGCCTGTGAATCCCCAAAAAAGGAACAGGCAGCAGCCCTGGGATCTCGCGGGTGACCGAGTGTGGAGGAAGTGTAGCAAAAATTACAGACGGTGGCTGGTTTGCATCTCCCTCTGGCTGGGAGCCAGCCGGGGTTGTGAGCCCACTGCAGCATCCTCTGCCTCCTGCTCCCCTCCACGGGGTGAAAGAGGCTGCCAGAGCAAGGTTTCACTTTGACCCTCTCCACAAAGGCCTCGCTGTTATAAGAACAGGGTGACCTGGAGACACCCAAACAGCTTAAAATAATACTCACCACCAAGAAATAAACTTGGACTCCGGTCAATCTTTTTTTTTTAAATAAAAATAATCCCCGCCTGCAATAAAAAGAAGTGGCTTCAATTCCCAGCCCTCCCTCAGCTCCTCTCTGCACACACAGCCCCTGCCCCTCAAACCAGCCGAAAGTGAAGCCTTCAGGGACCTGGTACCCGCCATCGATTTTTCGTGGAAGGTGCCCAGAAAGGACGGTGATGGACTGCGGGGCCACTACCCCCCGACCGCAGCAGCCAGCACGGGGGAGCTGAGATGGATCCATCGGGAAAGGGTTGTTGCTTCGCTCTGGCTGTGGTTGTCGGAGCCGAGGCCGGGCTAGGAAAAGCAAGCGGAAGCCATCAAGGTGGAGGAGAGGAAGCGAGGAAGAAGAAGAAGAAGAAGGGCCGAAGGGCTGGGGCGAAGCAGCCATTAGGAAAGTGCTGATGCAGAGGTTCCCTCGTGTCTATGGGCAGAGTTGGAGGAGTTGCTGTTCACGGACAAAGGCAGCAGGAGGGAGTGGAGCTTTGTAGAAGCCGGAGCCTGTCTCACTGGGTGTCTGTGTTTCATTCCCTGTCAAAAGCCTGGGAGCTGGGGGAAAAAAGCAGGGAAGCGGCGAGGCTGCAGCGCTCGCTCAGGATCAGATAGCAAGGAAACCAATAGCGGCGAGAAAAAAAAAAAAAAAAAAAGAAAACCAACCCACATCAACCAACCAACCCACCCACCCTCCACGCTGAGGCTGGAACAGGCAGGTCCCTGCCAACTCCACAGCACGCAGCAAGCAGGGAAGAAGTCCACCCTCCCCGGGCAGGAGCGGAGTTGAGCCCGAAGGATATTTGATGACACTTCGGCAACGATGGGTCCCCCAGTATCTTCCAGAGCCCATTTGAGGGTGAAGGCTCTGAAAGCACAGAGGGAGTTTGAAGCTAAATTCACCTGAGTCTGGATCTCTTGGTCGCTGGGATTTATCTATTTTTCTTATTTTCTCCAGGGAGAAACCAAACCAAGAAAAAAAGCGTGGGTTTTTTTTTTTTTAATCTCTCTCCTTTTTTTTTTTTTTAATTTTTTTTTCTTTTGGAAGAAGATATATTTTTTTTTTCCCCTGTGGTTGGAATGGAGGGGTTGGGTCTGTGCCTAAGAAGCAGCAGCCGAACGTCGGTCCTGGGAGAAACCCGAGTGGATGTGGGGTCCCCTGCCAGCTAACTCTCCAGGACCCGCAGCCCCACGGCCGGGGGGCCTGGATGCAGTGAGAGGTAAGTGCCGACTCCGGTGTCTGCCGCCAGAGAGCCGGGGCGACGGCTCCTCCGCTCCTCCAGCTCCGTCTTAATCCCAAGTCAGAGGCAAAAACAGCAGTCTCATAGTGAGTCAATCACTTCCACCTATTGCAGCCCTAATGGAGAAATAAGACGGGGAAGTTTCGCAGCGGCAGCTTCGGGGAGGAAGTTCCCCCTCACCCCTGTACCCGAAATGCCAGGCTGGGGGGGGATGTTTTACCGGGCTGGCCGCCGTCACCGTGCCAGTGCCATGGGCCCCCTCCCTGCCCAGCCAGCAGCGAGGGTTTGCTGCTGCCTTTTGGGGAGTGCTGGTTCCTCGCCGTGCTCCTGCTCCCCTCCTGCTTCCCCCGGGCCAGCTCGCTTCCTCGCCCAAAACTTTTGCACGCTGGTTGTTTTTGGCAATGCCCACGCAGGGTTATGCCCCTCTATGCCCACACGTGTGTATCCACATGTGTGTGTGACACATGCTCGCCTGACCCTCTTACCCCCAACTCCCTGGACCCCGCCGGTGCAGGGACACGCTCGGGGGGAGCCCGGGAGCTGTGGGGCTGGGGGGTGCTTCGAAGGCAAACTGCAAAGCGCAGGGAAAAAGCAAAGCGAGCCGAGCACGGCAGCGGCAGCAGCAGCATAATTGCATCACTGTAATAGTATCGGCGCTGAGCACGAGCCAGGCGAGTAAAATTGTCCAGAAAATGAGCTGTACTAAAGTGCCTCCAGTTTGCAGCACCTGCACGCCTTCGCTGGGTGCTCGAGGCCGTTCGTATTTTTAGAAGTCTCTCTTAATTATAGAACGAAGAGTGTGAGAGGGAAAATGGTGTGTATTTAGCAGCATTCGTTCCCGGACAGTTTTGCAGTGAATATGAGCACAAAATCACCAAATAGGGTTTTTTTTTTTCTCCCCCACTGCTCTTGTGATTTTGAACCACCTGTTTTGCCATGGCGTCGGCAAACGAGGGCTGGATTTTTTCTTTCCTGTTCTTAGAAAGCGTGGTGATGACTTTGCCTACAAAAAAGATGGGAAACAATCCTGATGCCTTCCCTCTTCACCCCAAATCAACCCCAATTTCTGTGAGACCTCCCTACTCCCCATCCCAGGGGTGACACTGGTGGGGACAGGGGATTTGCCCGCTGGTGCTGGGTCTCCAGCAGGCACCAAAGAGCTCACTGCAAAAAAAAAAAAATCCACAACAAACCCTGCAACAACTCGTTTTGCTTCTATAAATCTCCTTCCCCTCATCCCTTTCTCTGCAAAACTTTCCGGGGCCTTTTGTTTGGAACAGCAGGTGAAATTCCCTTTGTGTGAGCACAAAGCAATGAAGCCACCAGAAAATAATGAAAACAAGACTAAAAAAAAAAAAAAAAAAAAAAAAAAAAATAAAATAAAAAACCCCTTGCCTGCTCTTTTCAGGCCTGGAATAACAGTGAGCATTCCCGTCTGTGCCAGATAGGCTTAATAAAGCTCTGGCTTTGCTGGGGAAGGCACCGTAAAGGCCACTTTATTTCTTGCCTCTGATCCAAAACACACTTTGAAATCCTGTGTTGCCTCTGCTGCTCTTTACCCAAATGAGTTGCTTTGCCTGTGAAGTCAAGGAGGGTTTTTTTCTGAGCCCTGGAATGACCCCGGGGGATACGGTGAGTCCCTCGGGACCAGATGGGGTGGGATGTCGGTGTCCCCCCGTGCTGTGGTGCTCCGTGATGCTCCTTGATGTTCCCAGTGGGGTTCCCCTCTCCCCGCCAGCCGGGGCAGCTTCACCGGCAGCGCGGTGGAAACCGTTCCCGCTGCGGATAAACTTCAGAGGAGCTGTCGGGGGAACTGCACGGCGAGCTCAGACCTGGCGTTTTCACCCCATCTGTGTCAGGCTGTAGGGTGTGAATGTGCCTGAGAGACACGGGAACCTCACCCAACCTCTGTGCAGGTGGAAAGAGGCCGGGTTGGCGGTTTTGGGGGTGCTGTCTAGAAAGAGTGGGAGCGCAGTCGCTGTGAGGGATTGCTGGAGGGACGGGTCTGTCCCCCTCTCCTGTCGCCGCTCGGGTGTGTGGCACACAGAGCGGGCACCTTATGTAAGCAGCGATGGCAGCGCCGTGCCCCGGCTGTGCCATCCTGCTCTGCCCCTGCTGGGCCCTGCGTGGCCTCCACCACCTCCCTTATTCCCCACTCTCAGGGTCCCCTCTGGGTGCAGGGGCTGTTGTATCACTGTGGGAAGGAGCATAACACTCGCACCATCCGAGGGGACAGGGTGGTGAACGGCTCCAAGCGCAGGGGTTTGCCTGTGGTTTCTGAGGAGTTCATGATTCCATCCTTCCCGGATCTGGCTCTGGGGTCCCCGGGAGCTGGCACCAGGCCTAAGCCCCTTTCTAAGGTCTTCTGCACCCCTTGTCTAAAGTCCAGCATAATTTGGGTTCAGCACTGCAGGGCAAGGGCCAGCTCTCATGGATGAGGAGGGAAAATTGTCCTCTAAATGCAGGGACACTGGTTGGCAAAGGACCTGTGTCCCTGTCCCAGATCATGAGTCTGTCCCTCCATCCCCACTGCAGGCCCCTGCGTTCCCCAGTCCTCACCCATCCACCCGCCCTGCACACGGTGTGCCCGAAATGGAGGAAAGGAGAGAAAAAGATGAGCATTTAGGGGCTTGGGAAAGCCCCTGAACCCCAGAGAGCAGAGCACGGTGGGTGCTTCACTGCTCCGGCTCCACTCCAGCTTCTGAACAGGGGTGGGAGGGAGAAAGGTGGGAGTGGAGCGGCAGGTGACTGGGGGTAACTGTAAACCTGTCACCTCACTGGGTTATGCCCCTCTTCCATCATTCCTGGCTTGTTCCTAGCTTGTTCCCTGGTTCTTTCTTGGTCCTTCAGTCCCAGCTTGATCCTGGATCCCAGCTCGACCCCAGTTCCCAGCTCTCTCCCTCATTCCCAGCTTGCAACAAGGCAGGTCTGCCGGTGGGCGATGGATTTTTTACAGAGGTCTTTCAGATTCCCCCGTTGGACTTTTGAAGCATCTGGTATCACTATCTCAGCGTCATTATGAATTAATTAACATTAATTTCCTGTTCTGGTATCTCCCATTGCTGAGAGCCTTAGCCTGGGCTTTTTCCCCTGCCACACACGCCCCAAACAGAAATGACCACATCCAGACCGTGCCTGGCAGAAAGCCAGAGAGAAGCCACGTGTCTGGGGGGCCGTGGGTTCCCCATCCCTGTCCCCATCCCACACCGTGGCAGGGGATGCTGCCAGGCTTCCGATGGTCTGTTAGCTTGGATAGGGCTGGTCCTGGGAGAGCCTCGGTGCTACCAGCACTGCCTGCCCCTTTGCCGTGCCCCTGGCACGGGGTACAGGTGTTTTGGGGATGGGTGATGCCGGCTGTGCCATCCCTCACCTCTGTGGGATGAAGGGCGGGTGATGCTGGGGCTGTCCCGTGGGAGAAGGATCTTCCCTCCAGCTCTGGGAAATCCTGATCCTGGCTCCCCAGCCTGTGCTAGAGGCAGCAGGGATGTTCTCCTCTGGGATGCTGTCCCAGGGATGCTAATGCCAAGGATGCTGTTCCTGGGAGTGCTGATCCCAAGGAGATTAATCACAGGGATGCTGACCCCAGGAAGGCTGTCCTCAGGGATGCTGACCTGCTAGATATGTGAGGATGGGAATACAGACATAACAGGATGGGATGAGGCCGTGATCCTTTGCCCCAGCCATGTTCATCCTGCTCTGTGAGTCACCCCGAGGGAGGCACAGCCCGGGAGTGGCCACCTGCTTCCATCCCTGAGCTCACCTGCAGGGGTGAGCCCTGATGAGTCCAGAAGGACTCAGAGGGATGTGGGCGCAGCACCTTCTGCCTCCCAGCCCCATCCAAGCCCTTTGCCTGCCCCATTTCCTGCCCCAGAGCAACACAACCCTCCTGTCCCCCCACTGCTGCCCCCCTGCCACCACCATGTGCCCCATGGCAGGGCCACAGCAACCCCCAGGGCCACCCCAAGCCCCGCTGAACCCTTTGCAGTGTTGACTGAGTTGGTGGCGTCTCCCCCCCCTGAGCTCCGTGAGCCCCGTGGCCGAGGCAGGGAGGGGGTGGCAGCCCCCGGGGGGGCCGGGGGATAACCCCGGTGTCCTACATCCCCGGAGCCCGGCTCGGGCTTACGTAACAGCCGTGCTGCAGTCTGCTCTGCTCAGCGCCAGTGCCACCGGCAGAGCTGCAGCGCGGAGCCCATCTCCCTGGATATTTGCTTTTTGGGGAGAGGGGGGAGGGAGGGGGACACCTGCGGGGGTAGCCGAGCCTCAGGGAGTGGCCAGGACCTGGATGGGGTGGTTGGCAGAGCTGACTGGGCACAAGGTGGGGATGTCTGCCCCCAGACCCATCTGTCAGTGACCTTGGAAGCCAAATTCCCCCCTGGATGGCAGCACAGTGTGGAAGGAGGGGCTGGGGAGGGGGAGAGCAGAGAGGGCCCTGCCGTGATCCTGAGTGAGGATCAGGTTAGAGACTCTGTTGCATCCTCTGCCAACCATGCTCCTGTCTCTCTCTCTGGGAGAGCATTGTGAGAATGGGGAAACTGAGGCGGGAGGCTGTGACATACCGTGGGGAACAGGTACCAGGGTCCCTCTGGATGGGGAAGGGATGGGAAATTACCAGCCTCTCGGATAACCCTGGGTTGGAAATGTTCTGGTCCAGCCCAAGCTCTTTTCCCCAAGCCAATGTCCCTGCTTGGGGCTGGCACATGGGCACAGGGAGCTGCTGGAACTTGGGGCAGCATCCTGGCAGGAAGGTGCAGCTCTGGAGTGTGTGTCATGGCACGGGACATGTAGGGACATCAGGCTGGCTGCAGGACCCTTCCTGCCCCCAGCTTGAGTTCCCAGGGAGCTGCAGATGCTGGAGCAGGGAGCTGGGGGAGAAACCTCACTACCAGGTTGTGCTGAGGCCATGATCTGACAGGGGACCTGTGTGTCACTGTGCCTGACAACTACCAAATGCCAGGGTGCACCTGGGAGCTGACCATGTG